CGTGCCAGCGGTGACTCTCGGGGAAGGGGGGGGGGGTTCCACCTACCCATTCGGCCCCCCTCTCCCCGTCCCCCTGCCCCCTGGGCTCAGGGCCGGGCCCCCCTTGGGCCCGGTGAGCCAGGACGTGCTCTGTCCAGGAAGCCCCCGCCTGTCCGTCCCCGACGACGTGGCATCGCCGTCCCCCTGCCCCCTGGGCTCAGGGCCGGGCCCCCCTTGGGCCCGGTGAGCCAGGACGTGCTCTGTCCAGGAAGCCCCCGCCTGTCCGTCCCCGACGACGTGGCAGTGGGTCACTGTGCCGGCCTGCAGCTTGGCTAGAGAGACTGAGAGGGAGACAGGAGCTGGGGGCAGGCCTGGCACCTCCACCACGGAAACGGAACCTGCTCCAGCTCCCTCCGCCGGGAAGCCAGCAGGGAAGCAGCAACAGCAGCAGCAACCCCGGCTCTGGGCCGGACGCGCCGAGGACACGGGCCGGTGCCATGGAATTGTAGATCCGGCAGGGCCCTCGAGAGGCACCAAGTCCAGTCCCTGCCCTCACGGAAGGACCAAGCACCAGCTAGATCAGCCCTGCCAGGTGAGCGTCCAACCGGCTCTGGAATGTCCCCAGGGATGGAGACTCCACAGCCCCCCGGGCAACTTATCCCAGCGATTGACCCCCCAACAGGCAGGGAGTTTTCCCTAATGTCCAACTGCGACGTAGTGGGGGGTAACTTGCTAGGGCTGTGGCGACCTCTGCTGGCTGTGACAGGAGTCATTATGCAAAGGGGGCTCCAAACCTGTCTGACCAGCTACCCCCCATGGGGAGAAACAAAGGAAGGTGGAATGCCGCCCCTGGCTGGGGGGCAGGGCTGGAGGAGAGTTAGTTAGTTTTCTGTCTGGGAGCATGGAGGAACCGAGCCCCCCCCCCCATCTCAAGGGGGGCTGAGGCATCCTAGGCCTGCCCTGGAACCTGGTGACATCTGTGCTGGGCTGTATCCTGAAGAGGCAATAAACTCCCTGTTCTACTGGCTGGGGGAGTCTGTTTGTGCCATTTCGGGGGTGCAGGAGGCGGGGGACCCCAACGCATCGTCACACCAACCTCAACCTCCCTGGCTGCAGTTTAAGCCCCTTGCTCCTCGTCCTGTCCTCAGAGGCCAAGGAGAACAATTTCCCCCCCTCCTCCCTGTGACACCCTTTTAGATACTTGAAAACTGCTCTCATGGCCCCTCTCAGTCTTCTCTTTTCCAAACTAAACAAGCCCAATTCCTTCAGTCTTCCCTTATAGCTCATGTTCTCTGGACCTTTCATCATTCTTGTCGCTCTTCTCTGGACCCTCTCCAATTTCTCCTCATCTTTCCTGAAATGCGGTGCCCAGAACTGGACACAAGACTCCAACTGAGACCTGAGCAGCGCAGACTCTTGCTCACAACACTGCTGTCAATGCAGCCCAGAATCAGGTTTGCTTTTTTTGCAACAGTGTCACTTGACTCATATTGGGCTTGTGGGCCACTCTGACCCCTTGATCCCTTTCTGCAGGACTCCTCCCCAGTCACTCCCCAGCCTGCGTGTGTGAAACTCAGACTCCCAGGGCTGGCAGAGACCTCAGGAGTCATCGCATCTAGACCCTGCCCAAAGCAGGACGAACCCCAACCCCAACTCAATCAACCCAGCCAGGGCTGTGGCAAGCCGGGACTTAAACTCCTCTAGGGACGGAGATTCCATCCCCTCCCCAGGGAACCCAGCCCAGCGCTTCCCACTCACCTAGGGAAAGTGTTTTTCCTAATATCCAACTGACTGTTCCTTCCTAAGTGGAGGAGACCATTGATCCTTGTTCTGCCATCCGCCACCACTGAGAACAGCCTCTCTCCATCCTCTTTGGAACCTCCTTTCAGGTAGTAAAAGGCTGCTATCAAATCCCCCCTCACTCTTCTCTTCTGTGAACTAAATAAACTCAAATCCCTCAGCCTCTCCTCGTGAGTGCTCCAGCCCCCTAGTCATTTGTGGCTGCCCACTGGACTTTCTCCAATGTGTCCTCATTCCTTTCCATAATGGGAGGCACAGAACTGGATTCAATACTCCAGATGTGGCCTCACCAGTGCCACATAAAGAGGAATAATCACCTCTCTAGATCTGCTGGTGAAGGGGGTCATGCATCAAATGCCTTACTACAGTCGAGGTAAAGCACGTCCACCGCTTCTCCCTTAGCCACAAGGCTCATTGTCCTCTCTCAGACAGCTATCGGATTGCTTTGATGTGATTTGTTCTTTACCTATCACCTTATTTTCTTCCAGATGTTTGCAGACAGATTCCTTAAGTATTTGCTCCATTAGCTTCCCTGACACAGAAGTTAAACTGACTGGTCTGTAGTTTCCTGGGTTGTTCTTGTTTCCCTTTTTATAGACGGGCATGAGATTTGCCCTTTTCCAATCTTCTGAAATCTCTCCCAACTTCCATGAATTTTCAAAGATGATCGCTAAAGGCTCAGCCACCTCCTCTATCAGCTCCTTGAGTATTCTAGGTGCATTTCATCAGGCCTGGTGACTTGCAGACATCTCACTTTTGTAAGTGATTTTTAACTTGTTCTTTTATTTTAACTTCTACACCTACCCCCTTTCCACTAACATTCTCCATGTTAGGCATCCCGCCACCCTGACGAAAACCGAAACGAAGAAGTCATTAAGCCCCCCTGCCATGTCCAGGTTTCCTGTTGTTGTTTCTCCCTCCTCACTGAGCAATGGGCCCACCCTGTCCTTGCTCTTCCTCTTGCTCCTAATATACTTGTAGAACATCTTGTTACCTTTTACCCCGGCTAGATTTAGCTCGTTTTGTGCCTTTGCCTGTCTAATCTTCCCCCGACATACCTGTATTATTTGCTTATATTCGTCCTTTGTCATTTGACCTAGTTTCCAGTTTTTATACGACTCCTTTTTGATTTTTAGATTGTATAAAATCTCCCGGTTGATCCAAGGTGGTCTCCGGCCAGACTTTCTATCCTTCCTATGCAGTAGAATAGTTTGCTTTTGAGCTCTTAATAATGTCTCTTTAAAAAACTGCCAATTCTCTTCAGTTGTTTTTCCCTCTTAGTCTTGCTTTCCAGGGACCTTACCTACCAGCTCTGAGTTTACTAAAATCTGCCTTCCTGAAATCCACTGTCTCTGTTTTGCTGTTCTCCCTTGATTCATTACAATCATGAACTCTATGAATTCGTGGTCATCTTCTCCCAAGCTGCCTTCCACTTTCAAATTCTCAACCAGTTCCTCCCTATTTGTTAAACTCAAACCTAGAACAGCTTCCCCCGTAGCTTCTGAAATAAAAAACTGTCTCCAATGCAGACCAAGAACATATTGGACAGTCTGTGCCCCGCTGTGTTAGCTTCCCAACAGATGTCTGGATAGTTGAAGTCCCCCATCACCACCCACTCCTGCGCTCTGGATGATTTTGTGAGTTGATTAAAAAAAGCCTCCTCTACTTCTCCTACCTGGGCAGATGGTCTGTAGCAGCCCCCTAGCATGACTTCACTCTTGGTTTTTACCCCTGGTAACCTAACCCAGAGACTGTCAACAAGTCTGTCCCCTACGTCCCTCTCCACCTCAGTCCAAGTGCAATCATCTTTACTACGCAAGGTAACACCTCCTCCTGCCTCGTCTTCCTGAGCAAGCTGTAGCTTTAGCTGTATTCCCTGGGCACAGGAGCCCTGGCTGCTGGGTAAGCTGGGCCAGGACACGCGCCGGTGCGACTACATCTTCTCTGGTCACTGAGGGCCTGGGCTGGGGCTACAGTGACACCACCAGGCCAGGGCTGCAGCTCCTCAGTCCTGGTTAATTCCAGGCAGGAGGGAGCTGGGGGGGGGGGGCCTCGCCCTCCGGGGAGCAGGTGCAGCACAAAGGGGCCACTCACGTATGAAGGGGCTGTCACCCCGGGTCTTCAGCCGGATCTCTGTCCCCAGCTCCAGCTCCAGCGCCTCCAGCTCCGCCTCCGGCAGCCAGAAGGCCACGGCCTGGCTGGGGGTGTGGCGCTCGGTCACACTCAGCAGCTCTGGCTTATTCAGCAGCCCTTTCAGCTCCTCGGGGGACAGCCGGTCCGGGTCGCCTCTGGCCTCCACTCCTGCAGCATGCAAAGGGGCACAGCCGGCACGGAGCCCGAGCCCTCTCGGCCCAGGGCAAGGGGGGACCCCACCAGGGGAGGGGCACAAGGGACGCCGAGGAGTCTGAATCCCCGGCGGGGGCGCCGATTCTGGTCCCTGGGCCCAAGCAGCCTGACTCCAAGCTCCCTGGACCACACGTGCCCTGAGCACAGAGCCCTGGCCCGGAGCAGGATGAGCGAGGGACTCAAACCCAGGGCCCTTCACCTCCCCCAGCCCAGCTCCGAGGTGAGCGCTGGGAAAGCAGCCGCTCTCAGGCAGGGTGCCGGCGGGAAGGCCCCCGAGCCTTCCCCGTCTCAGGGCGAGGACGGGAACCCGGAGCCAGGGGGGCACGGGGCTGGGCTCCTCGGATACCTACTGAAGGAGGACAGGAGGAAGCCGGTGTTCCCCGACCGACGCTCAC